ACATATTTGAATAAAACAATATTTTAAATGCTACGAACTAAATCATTTAAACAGTTTAAATTAATGGTGTTTTAACAAAATTTCATTACTTTAATAAGATTTAAAAAATTTGCAATAAAATTAAATCTTTAAAGAACCTCCTTTCTGTGAATATTTTCTATAAAATAATTGAATTTTCCTTTAAAAAAAACAAAAAGATTACTTTATGTGCTGTTTAAAACACATTCTCTACACATCAAGAGATTTTAAAAACCTCAATTTTTAATATATTACTCATACTCAAATGTTTTATAACTTATATAAAACTTTTATTTCTTTTTAAAAAACTTTCTTAATCATTTAAATATTAAATTAATATTTAGATAAATGTTTCATCATAACTAATAATTATACACTTCAATACCAATATACTAATTTTCTAGGTGCTCAGCTTTTTTATTTTTTGCTCTATTAAACAACAGATGTTTGAAAATTATAATCATCTTAAACATTCATGTAGTTAGATACATCAGTTTAGATCATTTTATAGCTATGTATGCATATAATTATAATATGAATTTTATCAATTTACTGTTTTAACCTTTACTTCTATCTCACAAAATAGTCATATTTTATATTCTTGAATAATTTTTTAAAATATTAAACATTTCTTTTTCATATATTCTAAGAGTTTAATAATATTAACTACTATTATGTAGTAATAATATATACTTTATTGCTCTACCTTTTTTCCAGAAATCTGCCTCTCTCAAACCACTTAAGTGGATTGAATGGATGTCATTTAGCTGAGATATTCTGTTTAGAAAGTAGAACAGTAGTATATAGTTTCTGTAACTTCTATCCTAGTTTTTGACAATAGTTAAGAAAAAACTTCAGTTATTAAGCAAAACAATCGCCAATCGGAAGTATTTCAAATTACAAGCTTTTTATATAAAGGTGCATGATTCACTCTCATGCATACATATTACATAAAGGATAAATTAATCTCTTTATGCCTCAGAGAGGGGAAAAAATAAGCCATCCCTGCACCAGACTCTTGATTAACTATTATTATATCTGTAAAACTGTGGCAGGACAGAGATAATAATTACATTTATCAACAGATCATAATCAGCAATTTAAATTCATCCGTTACAATAATAAAATTACCTATTCATACTTCTTTAATCAAGATGCAAATGTCTATTGAAAATTATTACTCAGGACGATGAAGATAATAAGTTTCCCAATTGTTCAACAAGTGTGAATGTATGTTATTTATAAAAAAAATTAAAAATAAAACTAAGAAAAGAAAGGGAGAAAGGTAAAAAAAAAAAAAAAAAAAGAGAGAGAGAAAGAAAGCTTCTCTAATCAATCTGCATTGTATTAAAAGTCTTTCCTGGCTTCAGGTGTACCTGTAAAATGAACGGGTATGGTCGTTGCTAACTACCTATTCACACGTGTGGTTATTGTTTCCAGCAGTAACGTGGGGGCAAGCAGAAGGGAAGTGAGCAGGTGTGCCACGGACCGTAACCTATCCACGCAGACGTCCAGGGGTTAACATTTCGCTGGCTCACTTCTGTGAAACGAGAGTTTCTACAGCCTATTATATTATTCGATCCGCTACGCTAACTCATCAAACTGCTTAATACCCGTCTCCGCTATAATTAACAACTATTCTTAAATCACTGTTTCTCTCTGCAGCGATGGTATGTGCGGTATTCGATGATGTTGAGTCGACACACATCATCATCACTCCTGGCTATTTATTTAACTGGCAAACGAGTCGAAATGATCGACGTTGTTGGGCTTTACGGAATTTATAACTAAATAACACTTAAGTTTCTATTCTTGATATCTATTCCATCACTAACTAAACATGTTTCTATAGAGTTTCTATGGGGAAAAATATGATAAAAATTATATATTTATGCGTATAAAAAAACCGAATCCTGTCGGTGTAACAGTTGGATGATTTCACATACTTCCTGCAGGCTACTATAACGTCAATCTATTTTCTGTCTAATACGATAATATGACCTAAACGACGGGAAGTCGTCCAGGTGACCTTTTTTTTTCCCTCTGCAACCGGTACAAAGTGAATAGAAGTCATTTAGAGATAGGAGCTAAAAGGGATTCTCACAAAACGACAGCGTAAACGGCTTGAGAAAACAACAGTCACAAACCATTTACTCTATCTGCAAATACGTTAAATCGAACAAACAAGATACAATAATTAATATAAAGTATTCAGTGAAGTCATTCTCACCCTTAAACGATCGATATCTTCAAGCACACTTAACTGATACATCCAGAATAACGTTACAAATCTTTTAAAATGGTTAAAGTATCACTTAAACCAATTCGAAGGGAGAAAAAAAATCTTTTCTTCCTTTACTTCTGAAGCACATGGCCGCATTCTCGCGGCAAAAAGTACATCATACGCAACGCCAAAACGGCAAGAAATAAAAGTAATAAAAAATAATAAAATACATTTTTTAAAAGTAAAAATGTTTAAAATTTTATTTCTTAATAAAAATAAACACTTCAAAAAATAATAATACTCAATTAATAATTGTTTATATTCTAGAATACATTGACTTAAATTAAATATTTGAGAAAATAATATTATATATATAAGTGCCATTAAATAAACACTCGAATTGCACTTTTACAATAGGGAACAATAGCGTACAAAAGCCACTCTACCGGGTATCAGGTTCATTGCTTCAATTTGTCTTGTAAGATAAGCAAAATAAACAAAAAAAAAGTTTAATGCGAAAACGTCCTTGATTGTTATCCTATACGGGAATTCCGGTTTAGACACTATAAATATGTCGAAAGTTTTTAAAATGGGATATTAGGTGGTTCGAATCTCTTTATCACCGACACGATTTGTCATAATAGATTCGGTACACATTTTAACGCCTCGCAACGTGATTTACAATCGTGACAAGCAAGAAATTACCATAAAGTGCTAAACAGTTGAAAACAAAGCAAAGTCTTCGGGCGAAAAACGAATTCGAACCCATTTAAACCGGTTAACGATGCGTAAAGCATGTTCTATTATCTGTTAAATACATAGATGAAAAGCCACGTGAGTGGTTCGAACCCGAATTAAAAATATGTGTTTGAAATAAACTAAACTTGTAAAAGATGTCCATAATCATTCCAGGAAATGCCACTTTTTCGAAACTCGACATCCTTCTTTTTAAAATAATAATAATAATAATAATGCCATATTATGACAACAACGTTTAATAAGATAATTACCCATTTATGTTTCATTAGTTACGAGTCTTGCCATGCTTAAAACACGAGAAAGAGAGAGAAAAAAGAAGGTAGCTAAAGATATTGATAGTAAGATTTCCTTTTATGCATTAAACCGGTTATGGTTGTGATATATATTAGTCACGACTTCATTAGTCGCGTTCGAAAATTGTAAGATATTTGTATCCCACACTTTCGATGGTTAAGCATTGTACATGTACATCTCATTACTCGATGTTACCAATTGCCATCTACTCATTTAGTCTCCAATTACTACATAGAGCTGCCTTCAAGGAATTAATATCAAGAGTGATTAGAAATAATCAGTTTAATTATGGCTTGATAAGTCACATCCTTTCTTTTGTTATTTTTAGAATGTTTTAATTTTATGAAGTTTGGGTGTTTCCCATACTTAAATTAGTGGTATAAATTAACTACTAGTTATCACATTATCCGTTCAAGAAGAGGGGAAAAAAGAAGATAACGAAAAACAAATGATACATGCTTGAAGCGAATAAAAATAACGTTTACGAAGCTATTTAGACAGGTTAAAATGCCCTTAAAAATTCATTTAGTGGCTAAGAAATAATTATAATTAAGCGGTTTAATTGTAATTATATTTTTATGCACCATTTTGAATGATGTTATAAGAGAGTAACGTGTGTTCGGTAGATAGAAGAGAATACATAAAAACGTCACGTTCACATGAATAAAAAAAAATGGTTACCAGAAAAAAACCGCATCAATATAGAAAATTATTCATGGGTTTGCATGTGTATTATAAGTGAAAATTAAGTATCTTCCGCTAGTATTTTGCAAACATACATGCTATGAATAATTATGAACGCTCGCTTAACGTACAAGTGTTGCAACCACATATAAACAGGTTATTAATTTTTACAAATGTTATAAAACTCTTAGGCAATATATAAATATTCAAGAATTTCACAATTTCACGCGTAAAACCCTCCCAAAAAATCACACACAACAAATCAAGCAGTCGACTTTAAGAACACACGGTTTACCGCACGTTAAAGCAAAAAAAAAAATAATTCTTTATCGATCCCGATAATTTTCAATTAATTAAATATTCAAATTATGTGGTATGCAATCGACGAATATCTTATATACGAGTATATACTGTATTTATATACTGTATATGTTACGTTTACACGTACAGTACGTGTATCGAACAACTGTTCCCAATTGTCTTATCCTATTGTTGACCCGCACACAAATTACAACCCTTACTAACCAGTAATTGCTAAGAGGAAAAATAATAATAAAAATACCAAATATACAGTAACGCTTAACCGATTTCCCAGTAAGATTAAACGCGTTGGGTTTTGAAACGACGCGTTAAAAATAAATAATAAATTTAAAAAAAAAAAAAAACTTAAATGTACCGAAAATAATAAAAAGTCGAAGCGAAAAAATCGTGACGTATCCGTTAGACCACGTGTCGACAGTTTACCAAAGGAGACGATGGTAAGCGAGCGGCCATGTTGGCAACCTCTGATAAAAAGTGGCGTTTAAGCCGCCAACAACCCGTAAGCCAATCAAGTTAGGCGATCGAACCCGGTACCGATCACTTATGGAAGCGTTTTAGTTGCGTAACACACCCCCGAACGGCCGTGTGTGGCTTAAAGACCCGTTTTGTGTAGCCGAGCCACAGATCGGATGGAGCGAGAACGGGCGGGCAGAAACGCATAGGAGATGGTAATTTAGTAATTAAGACGGGGGCAACTTACCGGATGGCGAGCTGGATACATGGCGGAGGACCTAATATGGCATCCGAGTTTTCGCTACTACATGGACACGATACTTCTTTGTTCGCTAGGAAACGACGCCGTCTTTCTGTTGTTGGTGACGTCGGCCGCCCTTACAAAGGGATTGCTGGTTGATGCTACTCCAACTAGGCACAGCAGTCAACTACTGACAATGAAAAGCTCTCCGATTGCAACGAGCTGTAGCGTGACTCGGCAAACCAATGACAATAGGCAGAACTTTTTTAGCCGGCGGGAAAGCTGCTGCTCCTTCCTATCGCTTTCACGTTTCTTAGTAATAACAGGGCGCAAGTACTGTCCTCGGTCGGGTTGGTCGGTGGTTCGGGTCCCGACAGCACCGTGTCACTGCACACTATCCATAACGGAGGTGGAAGAAGAGGCTAAAAGTCGTAATAACCCGTAGCTTGTTGGATGCTGTAGAAGACCAGATACAAACCATCCGAGCCTGTACGACAAGAGCGATTGCGGATATGCCCTCACCATATACGGAACGTTCAGATTGGCTTAATCAACAAACATGACTGTTCTCTCTCTTCACCGGAGTGTACCACGTGGTACGGGCACAGACACATCATCCGGCCAGGGCTCGGTTGACCAATAAGGTTGCACAACCCCGCAAGCTCCGCCCGAACGGTCTACGTTTAGTATTTAACTAACCTCCTTGACAGCCAGCCATCAAAACCACGTGGTGTGCGGCGGTGCTGTCCTTGCTGTTAATGTGATTCAAACACTTGGCGGGGGAGCAGCCAAGCGATCACCCCGGAGAGCTGGATAATTATACAGGGCTTGATGTTGCTTTTGATGAGCACTTGAGCGTGTAGTGTTGATGTTGAACAAATGTTCGGAGGCTTGCCTCGTAAGACTTGTTTTTCACGTAGGCGGCCTTTTACACATTCTTGCGTCTTTCGGATAGATTTATTTCACTGCAGGCGCTAAGGAAAATATTATCCTGTCACAAGTGCACTTCACACCCGTTCCCCCTTTTTCCGTGGCTGAGTTTCTCTCTTTTTGTTTCCTCGCCCTTAAACTGCAGCTCGGAAAATCGTGGCGTAAAGACCTCATAAAGTGGAAACTAATCAAAATAAACACGGCTCTCTACGTAATTAGCAGCGTGTCAGGCTCCGACCATCAGGGAGTCCGTAGAGAATCGCTGTAACGACACTATAGGGAGTGTAGGGTTTGTACGGGTAGGGACTTCCCATCGCGCTGGCAAAGAAGTGTGTGTTCCGGTCAGCGAGCACAACTCACCAGGATCTTCCATTAAGACAACAAAAGAATGACATCAATTACGGAAACGGTACAAAAGGAGACTTGGCCAAATCCTCCTGCGTGTAGGAGGGAGTGTTACCGGATTTCTGTTACCATTTATCGATGCCGATATAACTCCCCACCCCTGAGTCAATATCTTCGTTACAAAGTTTTCTTCCCCACTAATCAGATTAGACCCGGAGTGACCCGGACGGCACTCACAGTCGTCGCCACACTGATAGTCGTTGCCGGACCCCCGCGCTAGTCCGACATACCACGTGCTTTTGATGGCAAGCTGTCACCACTCCGCTCGTCCAATCCGGCCGATGTGGGCGGGGACTAGTAAGTGGAGATTAGCAGGCGCCGACGGTTCCTCCCCTTCTGTGTTGTCTCACAAGATGATAGAACTGACGACGCCTAGACGGTTTGCCCTTAAAACTGTTATGTTTCACTAATTGTGAATGAAAAAGTACCCAAACCTGTTCCTTGGCAGCGCTTGGGAAAATTCGTCTTTAATGCGTCTAGTCGCCATCGCCGCGTCGCGTCGCGTCGGATCGCGTCGCTCCCACAATTGTTCCGTTAGCAAAATAATATTAATAATAATAATAGTAAATCTGTTATTAATATCGGAATAGTTATTTGGCTTGTATTAATTTAGCTTATCTGGTGTGTAAACAAATTGCCACAAAGACGAGAAGGGGAGTAGCGTTGGGTGTTGACAATGGCCCAAGTGGCTCGCTTAAGACGGATAGTGGGGTAGGTAGGCAAGGCAAGGACTATAATTAATGTAATTAATGAGAAATACTTGGCAGCCAGTAGCTTCTCCTCTACAACTACCAGCTGGATGTAATCTGATAGGCGCTGCCAACAGCCAAGAATTTCCAGATGAAAGCTATAAGGTCGGACTGTCTAGCACTGACTTTCAAGAGGTGACAAAGAAACCTACCCCAATGCCACTCAGTCAATAGAATTTCAGAAATAGCTTTCTACTACTACTACCACCACTACTACTCGCTCTCCCTCTTCTTCTCTTCCCCCTACTCTCGGTTTTTTCCCCTCTTTATGAACTGTTTCCTTAATTGTTTTGTTTCTAAACTTTTTCTCGGTGTAATTTTACAGTTTTTTTTTTTTTATTCCCGTTAATATTAGAACATCTCTTACGAGCTCCTTTAAACGTTTTTCTTTTTTTTCGCCCCCCTGCGCGTTAATTGCTGTAAGACATGTAAATTGACGACGTCTTTAAGAAACTTATGCGTGTCGTTTCGGGGTTAGAAATTGATAATGAGCCTTCGCTAAGCAACAATTTTGGAGGTGGGCCTGTTGATAATTATACTTTCAAATAGAATTATTCTTTTAGAAAGCCTACAATTTCGCGACTAGAAAAAAAATATGAAAGATTTAAATAATGTAAATTATACAGGTAAGCCTTGCAACAGGCCTTGAAATAGTTTAAATTCAGGAGCAAGAAATGTTTTATTTTTATTTTTTAAAAGGATTTAAAATATTAAAGGCCTTTTATATTATAATTATAATTAAGGCCTTAAGAAAAATGCCTTTTAAGTAGGTATAATGGCTTTCGGAAGGCGTTAATTAGTAAGCTTTTTAAAGCGTGTTTTCGAGAAATTAACACAGACTTAGATTTAATTTAACGGTATTCAGCAACAGGCCTTTAAATCCGAGCTAATGCCCGGCGATTATAAGGCCTGGCCACTATAGAAAAATGGCTGCATGTAATATACATGAACAAGGCGCTCGGAGCGACATCATTCGGCGAAGGGATCATTAAATGATCTATAACGCGAAGGTTAACTTCTCTTTTTAACGCGTAGCGCCATCTATCGAGTAAATTTGCGTCATTTATTTTTTTATTAGCCCACTAATTAACTCGGACAATAAACTTCGAATGCATTCGCCTAAAGAAACATTGAAATAATTTTAAATATAAAAAAAACCAATTAAAATAGGCAAAAACACGCGAAAAAATCAAGGAAGATAAAGGCACGTATATTATAGGCAAGACTTTAATGTGTATTATCTTTAAAGGTAGGCAAAAAAATGCTATTAAAAATTGAAAATTATACGAGTAGAAGGAGAGGGAAAGAATTCTAAAATTACTCTCTTCAAATAAAATATTCTACACTGCTCATGTAGAGGAAGAAGTGGAGAAGGTAGGAGGAGGATATGTGCAGTGTATAAAAGAAAAAAAAAATCTGAGCCGAGCGAAAAACATGGATCATTAGACATCGCAGACTTGACAGAGGATAATGTAGCTCCAGAAAGTCGCAAGGAGGACAAAACTATCTTGGCTGCAGCGAAATTACATCAGGAATGGATTTTTCAAAAGTTCCACTTCGCATGCACCAAGTGTTCCCAATTCCAGGATGGAATAGTGACAGTTCCTTAAGGTATGTGTTGAATACTGATACACCCCAGACACATACACGTACTGACATACACGCGCTTCTCTACTTTAATGCGCGTAACATATATTAACGCGTGTTACTTAAATTCGTCCGTATGTCTGCCCTCTAGAGAATATGATTAATAACTGCTTCCATTTAACAGGAGGGAGTTGATTTTATACAGAATTTTTTTCTTTTTTTTAAGCTATTTTACGCTCCTCGGAATTGGGTGGTCCTTTCATGCTGCGGTTTAAAATTTAGGTTAATGGTTTTGGGGTCCGGGTCGGTGGTGGTTTTCGTCAAGGTTGACCTCTCGACCTTTCGGTAGTGTATTTTTTTTCTCCTCTGTCTCTCTGTCTTTAAAGAGGGGGTAATTCTAATTGTAGGCAACTATGCTAAACGTCTTTAAAATTTCCTCTCTCTCCCTCCTCTTCACTGGTATGCGTACGTTGCTTGAAGATGCTGCACTTATTATGTAAAACGTGCTGGAGAATATCTTATTTCGTATAAAAACTTCACGAGAACTATCTTAACAACACTACAGAATACTTAAAGACACTGGGGAGCATCTAAAGGAATAGTGAGAAGCGAAAGGCCACAATCATTAGTGTGCAAAAGTATACGTTTCTAGCTAAATATTAAACACGAGTAGTTTTTATAGTACTGGAAATTATAGTTATTTTTCTATATATTTTATTTTATTTTATTTTTTCGTGCAGTATTATCAAGAGTACTATCACTAATAATCTCATAAGAGAATTAACAAAAGATCCTCTTTATTGTCAGTCCCAAAGAGGGTGGAGAAAAATTCTTCGAAAGGCTCTGCTATCTATTACATTGACAGTTATATTGTACGTTATCTTCACGAACTATACCACCCACACTCACTTTTTCCCCTGGAGGATTGTTCATACTGGCAACACAAAAACTCTAGCCACTTTTATTGGTTGTCTGTATGTTTGCCATAATTCTCATCATCTTGAGTAGACTAAATATATATATATATATATAACAAACTTATCATCATAAATGCCTATAATTGTTTCTTTAACGCTTCAGATCAATATGAGGTTTATTAAATTAATGACCTAATGGCACTTTTTTTATTGCTAACAATTTATGATCCTTTATTCCTATTGATTTTTTTTAAATATATAACATGTTTGTGTGTCTACAGAGGATTTGGATATGCCTAGTTCTATAAAAAGGACTTGGCATGAATAATTGTTTATGTAATACAGTGTTTCTCAACCTCTAACGAATCGTCACCCCCTTCAACGTAGTATCGCCCCCCTTCACTACAAAATTCCGATGCCGAGGGACAAGGCTAACGCCAAATTCGTACTGCATTGAATAGACTAGTGACTAGTATAATGTTATTTGTTTAATTATTGTACGATATAACGAATAAAATATCTAATTATTCTCAATATAATGTTTTACTATATCACCCAGAAAATTGTTTTTCGCCCCCCAAAATATAAATTGTTGCTAATCGCCCCTGAACATGGAAAAATGCCCACATGGGGCGATATCGCCCCCGTTGAGAAACACTGATGTAATAGATTTGGTATGGCTAGTTCTGTGCACATCAGAGGGATTTGATTTGGCTTATCTAATTTTACATACAACAGGGAGCTTGATATATCTAATTCTATGTAAAGAAAGAGGGCTTGATATACTTAGTTCTACATACAACAAAAGGGATTTAGTGTAATAGAATACATAGGAGAGAGTGAGAAATGTTTTAAAACACTCAAGACTCAAATCATATTATATTTTTACTAAATTTACATCTCACTTTTAGATTTATTATTGAAAATTAAATTCTAGATATAATGCATTATTGTTTAGATCATTATATCAGATTATAAACATAATTTTATGGAATAAATGCCATTTAAAAGTTATCTCATTTATAGATTAGCTATTAAAGTATATTGTTATACAAATAGATGATTACTACTATGGTACTATCAATATAAATTGTGTTGCTAGTACAGTAATGTATCAGCAACTACCATATTAGGCTTTCATTCCAATATTAATACCACAACTTATAATCTATGCCATCATTACACTCCTATGCAATGCTACTACCATAACATAATTCTAGGGCCTAATACTAAAAGCATCACAATTAAGTTTATGTTACTATAATTGCTTTAAATACATATTTACTTTCTAAACTTTTAATACTTATCTCCCTACAGTATACTAAACAACAATTTCATTAAAAAAAAGCATTAAATTGAAGCATAGAATCACAAGTTTGGAGGAGAAATTGATGGCCTAACTCTTCCTGATGTATAATTAATGCCCATTAAATATTCCTACATGTAATAAGCACAATTTTCTCTTAGTAAATAACTTAAATATGTCA